CGAGATAATTGGGGTCGGTGAGGGTACTGGAGCGTCTGTGAGAGTTACGGTTGAAAATGTAGGAGCCGCATCGCATGTGCCCAATTCGGGTTGACAACCATTTCCACAGAATTCTGTAGAATTGCCACAATAACCGTACTGAGAGCAGCAGGTGCCAAAGGGACTGCCTGTGCAAGTGACCCCATTGCCACAAGTGCCGTCGTTCGAGATAGGAGTGCAGTAGCCGAACTCTTGCTGACATCCATTCCCACAATGGGCGGCATCGTGACCGCAAGTATCGTCGGAACCGCAGCAGCTTCCGTAGCCGCTGTCTTGGCAGCTGTTTCCATTTCCTTGGGCGCCACAGAGCCCAGCTGACGGCATGGGACCGACTATGCCCGAGGAAGTGGGAGAGACAGGTGGTGGGGCCATGTTCGACGAAGATGCTCCTGGTGGAAATACCTGGCCTGGGGTAGAGACTAATGTAGGTTGGCTAGGTACGCTAGGTATGGGGTATTTGGTATTGATGTCTATAATCAAGTCAGTTATGGCTTCGACTACTTGACGACGAGGCTTGATATGGCTGGGAAAGTGCCGAGAGAAACGAGAGCCAAGAGAATTTAATACCTCTCGAAGTTGTGTGATATTCAGAGCTATGTTTCGTGCGAGTGTAGGTGCAGGGGCAGTCCGCTTCTTGTTAGCCTTACTCTTGACATCTCCTTGGCATACGTGACTTACCAGTGATAGTGAATGTGGTAGCCTCAGTGATGGTATATGTATGTGTTCCGTGAGTAATGATTGTTGGGCTGGGGCAAATGGTGGTCAAGATATCCGTTGTGATGGTCGTATACTCGCAGGGCTCTTCTGTCTTCGTAGCAGGGGGAGGAGGAGGAGGAGGATGAGGATGAAAAGCTGAAGACTTGGTTACAGCTGGAGAGTCGGTTATAGTTGAAGACTCGGTGACTGTTGTATCTACACATGTCGAGGAAGACACAGTGGTAGTATAGCCATCGATGCAAGCGACAGTGCTCGATGGGAAACAGGTGCTGATGACGATAGGACGCTCAACCACAGTGTAAACAACGCAAAGGGGATCAAGAGGCTTATCCAAGATTGAAGGAACATGTTTGGCCACAGCCAGAGCCGGTATTCCTAGGATGAGGAACTTCATGACGAGAACGATGATGGGAAAAGAGAGATGCCCATATCACCGAGGACAATTTCTTCGTATTTAAGGAGAGGGCGTGACGAATGTCGCGTCCATGAATGTCTTACATCCTCACGACGAGGCATGTAAATTCATTACAATGAAGCTTCCCGAAGGCGCCTCAGCTTGGCATAACAACGCATCGAAAAGGCTCATGAGGTAGAGAGAAGCAGAAAGCTCTTGCAAACAACGAAACATTGTGGGTTCTAGAGAGGTTTTGTTGGTTGGGTGAAGGTAGAGTGAGGATCGAGGATCGAGGATCGTCTAATATTCCCCAGGTTTTCTTTCCCAGCACCACTGGATGCCACGATGATTGCAGGATATGAGGTATATCCGGAATATCGGATCCTACGGGAAAGTGAACAAGAAGCATTCCTCTGAACAATTGCTCAGTCTCCCTATGAAAGCGATTCATCCTCTCTTTGTGGGTGAACCTCACTAGCGAGCCGAGGCATGCGCATTGTTGGTATATACCTACAGTAGGTATGTACGGCCAGCCTAGAGCAAATGGATGTCGAGATCGGCAAAACGCCGTGAAACATTCTGAGTGCTTTCCCAGCCTTGATTCTTGACAAGTGTCGATCGTCTCGCGTTCCCGTTCGCGTTTGCTCGTTGCTCTTGGGAGGTACGCAAGTCGTTCCGTAGCTGAAGGACGTGGTGGTTTGTTTTGGTTTTGAGCTCGGATGAGTGAAGCCGAAGATTTGTCTTTGTCGGCACACCGCCTCGGCGCGAAGACGCGGGGCCGGGCCGGGTCGGGTGGGCCGGGTGGGTCGGGTGGGTCGGGTAACTACAGTGTACCGTAGGGTAGCTAGGCCTAGGCATCGACATTACATTCCGAGTTCCATCCATTCATTCATTCCCATCCGCTTCAAGCTTGATACGGCCTCAACACCACCTCGCTACGGAGAATGTCCTTTTCAATACCTTCAAGATCGCTTGCTAGAGCTTCACGAGTATTGCCAAGGTCCAATGGCTCCTGCTTCACGGCCTGTAGCCTCCAGCGTAGGACTTTGGCCGATGTGTCTGGCGACAACATGACCCTGCCCTTGAAGGGTTACAAGGTGCTGGATATGACGAGAGTTCTCGCAGGAGTACATAAAACAATCTCAGCGGCCAAAATGATAACTAATACACGCTCATAGCCGTACTGCACGCAAATTCTCGGCGATTTGGGGTAATGAATCCATCCCGCCCTCGGCCTATCAGTCGTCGAACTCACGAGTCTCAGCGCAGAGGTTATAAAGGTCGAACATCCCACCAGAGGTGACGATACAAGAGCATGGGGCCCCCCATACGCGAAGTATATTGAAGGCTCTGGCAGAGACGGCGCAGGTGAAAGCGCATACTTTCTTGCCGTACCTCACCAACCCCCTTCGTGCTGCACGAGCTTACACCCTGCAGGTAAATCGAAACAAGAAGTCTTTGGGACTATCATTTCAGCACAAATCTGGCGTCGAGGTGCTACATAGGCTAGCTGCAGAAAGCGATATTTTGGTAGAGAACTATCTACCTGGAAGCTTGAAGAAGTATGGGATGGACTTCGAGACGCTCTCCAAAATTAACCCGCGGCTGATATATGCCTCTATTACTGGATACGGACAGACTGGGCCTTATTCAAACCGGGCAGGCTACGATGTGATGGTTGAAGCTGAATTTGGACTAATGCATATCACTGGAAGTCGAGACGGTCCTCCCGTGAAGGTCGGTGTTGCTGTAACAGATTTGACCACTGGGCTCTATACCAGCAATAGTATCATGGCCGCGATTATTGCTCGAGCAAGGACAGGTAGGGGACAGCATATTGATGTTGCATTAAGTGATTGCCAAGTTGCGACACTTTCAAACATCGCTAGCAGCTGCTTGATCAGTGGACAGAAAGATACAGGCAGATGGGGAACTGCTCATCGCAAGTCTGGCCGAATACCCCACTGATCTCACACTAACTATAGATAGCTTCGATCGTGCCATATCAATCATACAAGACCAAAGATGGAGATATCCTGTTTGGGGGCGGCAATGACCGGCTCTTTGGTATTCTGTCAGACGGTCTCGGTCACCCAGAATGGAAGAATGACCCGAGATTTGCGATCAACGCACAAAGGGTAACCAACCGGATAGAACTTGACGGATCTATTGAAGCTATAACGAAGACGAAGACCACGAAAGAGTGGCTCGACGTTTTTGAAGGGAGTGGTATGCCGTATGCGGCAGTGAACGATGTTCAAGGGACACTGAATCACGAACATATCCTGGCCCGAGGTATGGTCCAGGAGATGGAGCACGAGGCTTGTGGGCCGATAAGAATGGTCAATACGCCTGTCAAATACAGCGAGAGTAAACCTAGCATCAGGAGTGTCCCACCGATGCTAGGAGAGCATACTGATGAGATTTTGCGGGATAACTTGGGCTTGAGCAAGAGTGAGATCGAGGCCCTAAAAGCAGAGGGGGTTGTCAGATAAAACTCGGCATGCTAAGCAGACATTCATACTTGGGTCGCCTTGACAAGCATAAGAAGATATTGGTGAAGTCCAGCCAACCGAAGAGGCTACATTTTCGCTATCGCCATCGCGAGAATCTCCTCTGTTCATTCTCTGTTCTCTTGCTCCGCCTCTGAAAGCTATCTTGTCCAATCGACTCTCATCTCATCTTTCGGAAGTCTCTCCATCTCCGCGAGTTATGATTTCCTATTGGGGTCAAGTATTTTTGTTCGCGACGATAGCCTGTTGACTCCACTGAGCAGCAAGCGCGAATCAAATGGCTCCAGGTGCATCAAAAACAAGATTCCAGACTTTCTTTCCATCCAGATTTCACACAAAAATCAAAAGCAAGGTTCTTGATCGAATCGGCGATCGGTCGCTGAGTCATGGCAAACAAACATGGACACTCATCCCACTCCGTGGCGGATTTCTTCACCACTCTGTATCACCCGAAAATGCTCCCTCCCCATAACCCGGCGAGCTCCTATCTCAAAAACCAACACCATCTATCATGGCGACCCGACCACCGCGCGTAGAGACGCTGGCAAGTCTGCCTTCCCGAAATATCCCCCCCCACCTGATCAGTTATCCCTCAAAAGCGACTTACGTGACTTCTACCCCCGAGAAAGCCAACTTCTCTACTCTCGACATGTACGGAAGAATCCACGCTGACATGAGGTCCGGATGTGACAGAACTACCGCCCCGGTGGCTTCCACCCCGTGCACCTTGACGACGTCTTCAAAAAGGGCCGGTACATCGTCATCCACAAGCTCGGTCACGGGGGCTTCGCGACCGTCTGGCTTGGCCGAGATACGGTGCGCAAACGCTACGTCGCGCTCAAGATCCTAGCTGCGCGTCTCTCGCGCGACTGTCCCGAGGTTGAAATCCTGAGGAGGTTGAAGAAGAGTGAGGACCACAAGGGGAAGGCCTATGTGATGAGCTTGCTGGACCACTTCTGGATTGATGGCCCGAATGGGCGGCATTTGTGTGTGGTCAGTGAGGTGGGCGGACCGAGTATTAAGCAGTTCAATAATTGTCCGGGTTTCGCGAGTGGAACGAGGAGGCTGAAAGGGGTGGTGGCGAGGAAGGTTGCGTTGCAGGCGGCGGAGGGGCTGGCGTATATACATTCCACTGGTATTGTTCACGGAGGTGTGTTTTTTGCGTTTGGTATGCGATTTAAGAGCTAATCAGTGCTCAGACTTCACTGCTGCGAATATCTTACTCCAACTCGCTAACATCGACGAGTGGAGCGTTGATGAAATTCGTACGTATGACGGAGCCTTATTCTATTGAATATCTTGGAATGCTCTGGAAAATCACGTTTTCCCATTGCCTCAAGACACATCCATATCATGACAAGTTCTGATCTCCCATTGTGTAGACGAGAGGTTGGGCAAGCCACAGACGCAAGCCCTGCATAGAGCCTCTTCACAAGCGCACGGGTACACAGGCCCAGAATACACAGTCACGGCTATCAATATGAAGCTCGTAGATTCTCGGTGGCTCTCTGGCCAGGTGATCATCATCGATTTCGGCATTGCTTTCATGGAAGAGCAGTCCTCAACTGATATCGGGACTCCGAAGAACTATCGTGCGCCAGAATTCAACTTCAAAGGTCCAAGGAGTATCAGCTCCGATATCTGGGCGTTAGGGTGCACCATTTTCGAGATCCGCACAGGCTCGTGCTTGTTTCAATATCGAGGGTCCCCTACGCGAGACCAGATGTTGGTCACCACTGTCAAGATCATGGGGAAGCTGCCTGCCATGTGGTGGGACAAATGGGAGGCAGGCCGGACCTGGTACGATGTTGAAATACAGTCTGGTGGACAGCTCGTGGACATCGTGGCCGGGACACTTTTCCAAGAAATTATGAAGATTGGTATCCACGACGGAAACCCAGAGACCTCCCACCCAACTTTTAGAGATCTAGGCTTCGGGGAAGACAACGTGATCGAGCACGAGAGCCTGAAAAGAAAGCATTCCTCCTCAGAAAAGCATCTGAATACTACCGATGGTCTAGTAGCCCTTGTCGAAGAACTGACCACCAGCGAAGCGGAAGGCATAGTTGCCGATCTGGACAAACGCAGCCCCGAGTCCTCCCACCACGAGAAAAAGAATTCCGGCACGGGTTCATCGAACAAGAGCAAAAGCGGAGATGCTCCAGGGTCGCCAAACCAGAAGAGTGGCAATGCTAATTCAGGATTATCCAATTCGAAAAGTGGAGATGGTTCGGGGTCGTCGAATGCGAAAAGCGGGGAGAAGAGCATCTCGTCTGAAGGAATTCCCACGGGTCCTGCCCGTAATCTGGGAGCAACGATCGGGTCGGCTCTTGGGATTATGGATGGTAAGGAGGAGCGCCAGCCACATCGTAACGATGTCGCCGAGCCTGTCATCAATGGGGAGCTCCTCGAACCGTCTGGAACAGTCATTACTGTTGTCGAAGCACTTGCGCTGGAGAACCTGTTGAGAAAGGCGATGCAGTTTAGGCCAGAGAACAGGGAGTCTGCTGCTGAGCTGGCCAAGCATGATTGGTTTTACAAGGAATTCTGACGGCCGACCATGAGATAGAGACCGGGCATCCCGCGATTCTTCTAAAGCCTCCTAGCGTTTCTGGCAGGCTCGTTTGAGATTAAAAAAGAGCCTCAAAACTGGCTGGAGATGGGTTGCAGTGAACTGACAGTGGAGATACCCGTGAGCAGATGGTAAATGAAGAATGGGTGACTTGGAATTCAACGACAGGCTTTCTCTAATTGTTAGAGGATACTTTCCGGTGTCACATAAAATTAAACAGGGTGATAAAATCACTCACTAATGTTATTATGAAAATGTGGGAAATGGGATACGATTATGTGGTTTTCACTGAGCACTCGGATGTATCTTGATTAAAGGAAATTGATAATCACAAGGCACTCTAGATTTCGTATTGATTGATGATGGAGCTTTTGGTATTTCACAGACTTTAGGAAGCGCAGTTTTCATGTAACTGGACTTATTCTGCTTTACCGATCCCCATAAGTAAGGGCCCTGGGAATGTTGGAATGTACATTTAAGCTTGAGAATAATTTTTGGCAGGTAATGGGTGGGTTGGCTGTCACGTGTGTATCATTCACGTGAGTCTAGCGTAAAATATCATTTGCGCGCCTTTGGATGCCCAAATCGATCTCTGAGCCAGATATTCTCATCAGGATCCGACCCGCGGAATCTTCTCGACCCCAGGCGAAACTTTCGAGCTAGCAGTAAAGTCCGATTGAGACTCAATATCACGCCCACCGCGTTCCTCAACCGATGTCAACATCGACGGACGACCCCCTCAACGACAGCTCAATTATAGCTCGGTCTTGATCGCATCAGGTTTCATACAGTGCATATTTTTTCAGTAGCAGCGCGTAAATCGCGCCTGGAAGCCGTCGAGACCGCCGTATCCTCCGGCGCATTCTGCTCTTGAAGCCCAAGATCAAGGAAAATCGCCCATCATGGCATCTAACGACCCCTCCAAAACCCCAGCAGCGCCTGGCAGCATGAGCAACGATGCATCCGATTCTATTCCTAAGTATGTTCCACAGTTTTCTGCCGCCACGGAAATGATCCTCAAGCGCATCAACTCGGGCACAGTATCGACCCTCGCCTCGATTGGCATCAATGGCACCCCTCCTGGCTACGACGACATGCGCCGCAGTATCCTCCAAGGCATGAAGACCTCGATGAACGTGGAGCTACCCCCCATCGCGAATCCTGGCGGGCGCCAAAAGCCATTCCAGACGGGCACTGCCAAAGAACGAATTCCTATCCCTCGAAAGATGGGCTCGGGTAGAAAACCCAAGTCTGCTACACCATCGAGCACTCCCGGTGGGTCGGCAAGTGGAGGAAAGGCAAAGCCAACACCCAAGGGTCGTGCAGGAACAAAGAGAAAGAGACGACAGCACTCGACCAGTGAGGAAGATGAGGAGGAGGAGTCGGATGACAATATGTCGAAGCTTGGAGGAGATTCCGACTCAGATGATGAAGAGGGCAGCATGCCAGAGTTGCCAAAGATCACCCAGTCTGGTAGACAAGTCAACAAGCCTGCGCAGTTCATTCCAGCGGCCTATGAGACTGCTACTAAGAGGAGGGCTCCCTCTAGGCGCAACCAGGATCAGGCGCTGTGCAAGGTGTGTCAACGAGGCCACAGCCCTCAGAACAACATGATTGTCTTCTGTGATGGTTGTAATTTGGGATGGCATCAACAATGTCACGATCCAAAAGTCTCTGAAGAGGCGGTCAAGGACGAGTCCTCGTCGTGGTTCTGCGCTGATTGTAGCCGGAAGAAAGGCATCAAATCTGGGTATGAGACCATTCCTGGAGTTAGCTGGCAAGGACGCAGTTCTGAAGAGGTATGCAACCCCAAGTCTAAGTTGGTTCATTCCGGGCTAGTCTGACGTTGGATAGAAAAGAGCCTACCTGAGCTCCCTTCCTCACCCACAGCTGGTCACTCTTCTGTTGCAGGCTACGGTGCTCCATCCTAATCTCCCCATCTTCCCACCAACCCCAAGTGGCCAACTCATGCAAGCACAAGCATACATTCCGGCCTCTCGCCAAACTAACGCGCCGGTGTCCCGCACAAATATGCACGCCCAACAACCGTTTCCGCCATCTGCAGCCTCTTCCGCCGGTCTCTTCAAGCGCGCCGAAGGGAACCCCAATGCCACTATAAACTTTATCCGCAAACTCCAACCCGGCCAACCAGGTTGGGTCGCAGCAACGCCTTCACCTCCACCACATCATCCCCAGGCATCTTCTTATGCCCATGCTTCGTCGGCACCGCCTCATTTCGCTACCCAAACCACCGAACCCGTTGCGGATTCCGAAAGCAGAGAAAGCACGCCCAACAGTCCACCTTATCCCAAAGCCGGCAACGGTTTGATGGCCAAGCTGGGTCCCGACGATGAGGATCTAGATTGGTTGGTCGACAATGGTGATTTTGATAGTTTCAGTCATGCGGTCTACGACGAGCGTGGGGAGAAGACGGAGGAGAATGGCGTTGCTGTTAATGGCTCCCTCATTTAACAAGTTTATGTACACTCGTCCAGTGGCGATGTGTGGCTCTTACAAAAGCTTGAGTCTTTTGTATTCTTGCCATGGAGTTGGGAGTCAGCTGGCTACTTCGATTTCGCGTTGATGTGTGAGTGGCTGCATAACTAGCTTTTTGCCCCTCGCCCTTTTCTGTGGCTTTACGCATAGGGTATGACCCCTATTGTATGTTGATTGCCTCTGATTTGCTTTGCTTTATCTGAATCAGATGGGCTGCCTCAGGCAACACTGGTGTTCTGGAGTTCGACTTGGTAGCTAGCAATGATGAGACTTGCCGGGCCCCATGTCTTTTAGCTCTATACAATGAATCAATGATATGAGAGATGATTCAAACATGAGGTCCGCGTATCTTGTTGCACGCCGCAGCCAATGTCTCCAGGCTTGTAGGAAATAATATTGAGAGACTATTTCGTCGTCTCTCCGGCACACTAGACGAGAAAGCGTCGCTCTCAGATAACAGATTGGCCGTCGCTTGGGTACTCCAGCCATTCATCACTCCAGTACAGTAAAGTAAATATCCCCTTTCTCTTTCTCTTCTCTATACAATCGATTCCTTGATCACCCACGTCCCCTCCTCGCCACTTTGTCTTCCATGGATATTCTCCCTCATCTCATCTCCTTTCAAACAAGATGGCTTGCGATGCGAATATTGTCTCTTGACACCATTTAATACAACGCTATCGAGCAGCACTATCGAGCAGCACTTCCTTCCGATGGTCTACGGTCTACGGTCTATGGTCTATAGCCTAATATCTTCCACTGATCACACGCAGTCAAGTACCGGTATCTCTCGTGTATAGTATGCAATATGTGGCAAAAGGAATGCCCCGTAGCGAGGCCCTGGCTGCAGAACCATCTTCACGCATGTATGACAAGCAAGACAAGCACTATCAAGAAACACAATCCGTCACCACCTCCCTCTCCCTCTCCCTCTCGCATCTTCATCTCGACAAGCATACTCACTCATTCAATCACCGCAAAAATTCTGCGGACAAGGAAGGAAGGAAAGAAGGTTGAGATTCTACACACAAGCAGCAGTGAAACGGATACATGGGAAGGAAATGGGCTGATCTCTTGGTTGATGATGATAGTATCATCTACTCAAAAGCCTAACATGATACTCATAAATTACATAATATATATATCTACATAAACACTCATCTTTCAAGCACCCCACTTCCAATCTAATCCAGCCGTGATTATATACAAGAAACCAATGTCTTCCCCCTTCTTTCACAACCGCCGAGATCATCACCTCTCCCACTTCAAACGGTATTGGGAACCTTGGCACCAGGATATCCCACAAGCTGGTCCATGTTGACCTCGTTCAGTATGGGGCAGTTGAGCGGCGCCAGAATGCCATCCACCTGAGCAACCAGGCCGTCGAGCGCCGTCCCCAGAATCCCCGTGACGACACCCTGGAAGGCGTCAGGCAAGAACTGGATGACGCCCTGGAAGATGAAGCACGCCAGGTTGTTACCCTGGAGGAGCGTCGCGCTGTTGAAGACGCCGCCGGTCAGGTTTGCCAGGTCGAGGCCGGCGAAGGAGTTGACCGTGCCGGTGTTGCCACCGACGCTGACGAACTTGGGGAAGGCGAGGGCGGCAGCCACGACGTCGGCGACGAAGAAGGGGAGGGTGTACTCGTCGCCGACGGCGCGCTTGTACCAGTTCTCGGGGATGCGCTCGTGGCCCTCGGTCCACTGGAAGTGGCCGCTCGCGCCGCTGATGGCGAAGAAGGACTTGAGGACTTCCTGGTTCAGGAGGCCCTCGGGGTGCTCGGCTGACTTGTTGGCCATGAAGCGGTAGATGAAGGCGTAGCCGGCGGGCTGCACGGCGATGCCGGCGAAGGGGGCGTTGAAGAAGAAGGGGTTGTTGTTGATGGATTGGTCGAATCGCTTCGAGCGGAATGGGGTCAGGACCGAGAGGTCGTAGTTGGCAGTTGCTGCGTCTGGTTGTGTGTCAAACATCTCTTGGAACTGGCTGATGATGACCTTGTAGGTGTTACAATTACTATCACCATGTTAGTAAGGTGTGAATGCAGATATCAGATGGGGACTGACTATTGGTAAAGATCTGGACGAGTCGGACTAGCATCGGTCTCGTACTTGTTGTGAGAGCCAGAGAGTCCTGTAGGTGTGCCGAGAAGGCCGAGTACATTCGGTACATTTGGTGTTGGGCCTCCAATGGACCATTTGGTGAGATCACCGTCGGCCAGAGAACCGTAGATAGAAAGGAAGGCACCGAGATCTTTGCCCATACCAAAAACTAGCCAACTGTCAGTCCGGAACTCATCAAGCTCGGCTGCAGAGGGACTTGCCTGTGTAGGTACCGTCGATGAATTGCTGAATAGTTGCGACACCGTTGTGAGGAATGTATCCGTGATTTGCCATCGCGTTCAGACCGGGGCAAGGTCCACGTTGGTCCCCAGTGTAGGTATTTGGGCTGTTGGGAGCGACAAATTCGTATTGACCATGGGTTGAGACATATTGCGCTGCGGCATCAAATCCTGGAGCGCGGCGGTTTGCCTTGAGCTTTGTGAGAGCGGACTCGATATCTCCACGAGCAAAATTATCTGTCTCTGCTCTGGCAGCATACTCTATAGCAGCCGCTGGGAAAGCGACGACTTCGGAGGCGCAAAAGGCGAATACGCCGAGAATAGCAGATGAGTATCTCATCTTGAAAAAAAGTTGAATGGAGTTTTTATGTGAGAGATAAGTGCCAATGTGAAGTATCGCGCAGGGACGCCGATCTTATTACGTCTCTGTGAGCCATGGACCGCACCCCTCAAAAATTTGGTGCATATGAATCTACCGATTCTACCAAGTGGCATGACGAGATACTCTGCATAGGTCTCGTTGAAAGTGGAGCAAGTCCTCCGGAAAGGGCATCTAAACAACTTCAGAAAAAGGGTCGACTGCCCAGGTCTGCCAACTGAAAGGATCTGGATCTCAATGACTCTTGCTCCGTCCAAGCAAGCCAGAAGGTAGAGGCTTTTAGCTACGAAGTATATCTGTTGCTAATTCACATCCAAGGCACCACTGACACAGAGCTCGGGCGCGAAGATGGGAATCAGCAGGCTTGGATTGGCTGCAGGTGAGCACTATTAATTCGCTAGACACAAATTTAAGCCCGAAAGCTCTGCTAGGCTGGGGGTCTCCGCAGAGACAATGGTCAACAAAGAAGAAGTCCGGGACCTCGGACGCCTCGGTGCTGTAGATCAGTACCTGGTGTTAGAACCCATTTGGAACTCTTGACAATTATCTCGATGGGATTGAGTGGTACATATGTAGAAAATAGACTAATTCACCGCCGTGGAGAATGTGAGCTTTTTGGTTTGAGGTTGCAAAAAGATAGGACTTCGGTTGGATGCGCGAAACGAAGTAAACAAGCATTAGGCGAAGCTTAACAATAACGACAGACAGACAGGCCATATGCATCCGAGGGTCCAGGGACAACAACGTTAAGATCCCTAGAACAACACCGGCATGGCCCGAAGTCGTCATAGGCCCTTTTCAATTCCCCGCTCCGTCACTAGTTCCAGGTGGTGCGTAGCTAGGGCCATGGCACCGAGATTAGGGAACAGAGTTAAACACTAGAACCAACCACTTTGCAAGAATCGCTATGATCAGAGCCACAAGGACTCTTTGGATTTTTGGCGTCGCATCTGCCGCTGACTTTCAGCTTCTCATATGGAGTGCCGACAACAGTTTCGAGTCGGCACCAGCATTCAAGAAACCCACGGACCGCATTCATACATTATAGAAAGGACGCCAGGCACGGAGTGGGCAAACACGACAGCATGAAATGCATTCCACGAGGGTATAAATGAAAATCGATTCAGATCAGGACTCCTCGACGGTATGAAAATTTGAGACAAGACGACTGATCGGCATGACTTTCGACACATCGTGCACTGGCAAGCGTGAGACTATATTGGCTCCGACGATTGTCTGTGAGAGCGAGAACAGATTTAAAAAGGGATCATTCTGTCAAAGAACAGCGCGCGGGGTCAAGGCTAGCAGAACGGGCCATGCAAAATGCAGCTATTCGGATATAGTTGCTCGACGCAACGACATGAGAGAAACATTTGAATCAGACGGCTCTCTTGCACCTCCCTAGCCCTGCAGTTGAATGTAGGAGTCCAAGTTTTTGATATCGACTCGGCCAATGACGCCGATCGAGAAGACAAGTACGAGTCTCGTAGTCGATGTTCCTACCCTCCGAAAGTCTTCGAACCTTCCTATACTCAACGAAAGCAGACGCGGAAAGAAGGACTGACCCAAGATGCCCCAATACAGAACATCGGCGGGTGTAAAAAATGAACATGATGATGCATCTCCATCATCATGGATTTGGATGGCGTAGTCTTGAACGGCTGCGCTTTCATCGCGTCCGTCTACCTCCTCCAGAGAGGCGCCAGCCTCTTCACGAATAACGTGGCTATAGTTGCACAACGATGCGGCGCACCCGGGACATTGGTGGCTCTGCTGACCATAGGGGCAGAATGGGAAGAGGTATGGCAGATTCGTCCTGGGAAGCCGTCTTGCTGCAAACAATCGCTAACAGCACCAGCTCGCCGTAGTCGTCGCCTCAATCGTCCAGCGTCGACCCTCTCTCGGCCTGGGAAGTGTTGTGGGGTGCTGCGTCTCGAATGTTATGGGCGTCCTCGCTCTGGGGATCCTCTTCAACGCAGACCCGATCCGATTCGACCTCGGCGCGAAGATATACTCCGGGGCGCTGTTTGCCGTATCGACAATCTTCACCCTGCTAGCGTTCACGCAGCAGCTGGACTTGACGGGAGGAATCTTCTTCATCGTCGGCTTCGCCGTCTATGTCTTTTCGATCTGCTCGGCGATCTATGACGGGATCCTGGATCCCGAGCCCGAAGACGTGGAAGAGCTCGCGGCGGACTCACCGATGGTATCGCACACGCCAACCGAACATCAACAACTGCATGTTGCTATATTCCCGTCGGTGCTCCAATGCCACCCGAATGAGGCATCGGCCCTACTTCCAGTATCCGAGGATTACTTTCCGCCTGTCGCCCCAGCCCAGCCTCTGGAGCCGGCAACGACGAGCGTTCATGCCCTCCTCGCTCTGGTCGGACTCGTTGCGCTCTGCATTGCAGCGTATGTGCTTGCACATGCGGCCGGTGCTCTTGCAGCCTGCTTCCACATATCCAATACCCTGATCGGAGTCACCCTGGTTGCCGTCTCAACCACGATACCCGAGAAGATTGTTTCGATTTACAGTACCTGGCAACGCCGTACCACCATCATGACGGCAACCACAGCAGGCTCTAACATATTCCTACTGACCCTGTGCGTTGGCATCATATTCGTCACCAGACAGGGTAGTGGCGATGCTGATGAAGGAGGACCCAAGGCCGGGAACGGTCTGCAGACGGACAGCCTCGGGGCCTTTGAAGTTTGGAGCGTTTGGGGCTGTTCCCTGATTCTTGTGTTGACTACTTGGTTCGGAGCAAGAAGATGGCTTGGGGCATTTTTGTTTGGACTCTATGTTGGGTTTCTTGGCACCGAGATAACTTTCTTAAGAGATAGGTAAGGTGAGGTTGGGAATAGTTGGTTAGCTCGACGGTACGTACCTATTCATGATCAGTATTTTGTTTACCTGATATGAAGTCTGGGTCATGTTTCCATGTGCGATGTCTAGGTTACGGTTTCGCACCTCTACAAACGGTCACTAGGCCTCGCGAGCCTGTGTTCGTACGGCATTGGAACCTGGAAAGATATCAAAGACTCTCCGATGAATGGAGATAGATACCCAGACATTATGCCCATTTCCCGATTTCCACAAGTTTGCCAGAGTAGCGATCAAATGAGATAGCCTACCTACGAGTAATCAGACTATCTCCTAGAGTCCTATTGAAAGCGTACCTAGGTAGCGATATTGAGTACACAATAGAACGCAGCAAATTGATAAATTAGTAGTAGTTTTAACAATCATCAATTATCAACCATCAACTCTTGAAATTGTCCGTTCAACCATCTAGATAGCCTACCTACGGACTAATCAGAATATCTCCTAGAGTCCTATTGAGAGCATACCTAGGTAGCGACATTAGGTACATAATAAATATGCAGCAAATCGGTAAATAAGTAGTAGTTTTAACAATCATCAACCATCAACTCTTGGAACTGTCCGTTCAAACACCTACTTCACTTACTTGTGGGGGCTACGGTTCTTCACCTGTACGAGGTGCCCCTTACGAACCTCCGGCTCTCTTTCTTGCGGCCAAAGGACTTTGAACAGCCGAAATTGAATCAAAGTAGCCTTTCAAATACACTTCTCTTTACTAGCGATCCGAACGAGCTTTCTTTTACCTCGACCAGGCCTCTACCTCGACCACTACGCCGACTACGATCTATACTTAACGAGCATACCGATTGAGAATACTAAGAGGATTTGCGATAAAAGAGAACGAGGTGAAAGAGATGGAAAGGGGTTTTTAAGACGGTTTACGAGATTGGGCTTTTGAAAAAGCTACTTAGCTGCCTCCGGTCCGGCTTGAAATTATTTCGATAATCGATATCGATATACGTTTTCAACGCTATAACTTTTCTTTTACCTTTTTTTTAAATATCAAAACGAGATATATATTTTTTAATAATCCATCTCATCCGTCAAAGAAAAGGCACAATCGATAATAGCTGCACTATACCAACCTGAAATGCCTTTAAACAGTTCCCAAGAATCATGCGATACCGCGACATCAAAAACCCGAAGCTATCCAAAAAAGATCTTCTCCTCAATATGATTTTTACTCTCGATTAGATAGTACTCTACATACGTATGATTCCTGTCCTTGGCACGTCGCCGTACCTTCCTTACAAGAGGTCCTAAAGCGGCCTGCCACCCGCCCGACGTGTGTAAATACGACAATAACAATAAATTCGCTTAGTTGACGGAAAACCTTGACTGCACGCACGGAGTGCGGAATGGAGGGCCGATTCTATATTTAGATGATTCTTTTTGCAGTAGAGGAGGGGACGAGAATTCAAAAGAAAAGAAAAGAAAAGAAAAGTGAAGTGAAGTGAAGTGAAGATTGAGTTTCCCGGCTGGCGCGTCTTGGTAATTTCGTGCTGGCTCGCGGCTCGCGCGCGGCTCGCGGCCCGCGTATACTTAGTACTTATTGAATTCTTAGAGTTGGTAAGGTACGTAAGGTAGGGTAGGGTAGGGTAGGGTAGGTAAGCCTCGATCTCACTGTCCCCTCCCATGAATAAGTACATGTGCAAAGTATAATTTGCCCCGAAGGTCGTCGAACGGTGGTTTCTGAATGGCTCACAGCCTTGTTGGCTCCACTGTATAGGCTATATACTGGCTTCGAGATAACCTTTCAAAGAGGATTCCTTAAGTAGTAGTACGTAAAGATGCGTGGATTTTATTTTGTGTTATACTTTCGGCTTTGGACTTTATTTACTAAGCAGGATTTACTACTAGTACCACTACAACTACGTTTCAGATAGGTTTTTGAGATATAGGGATATGGGGATAGAGAGATCCTACGTACTACCTACCGTCGAAACTTTGCAGGATAGCGCGCTAGGCGGCCAACAACGTTTATTCTCTTTATTAATCGACTGATTAAGTGCGTTGACCGCGCAGAAGGCTAATCGATCTCGAAACTATGCTCGGGCCACAGCTAATATTCTATACTACTCCCTTCACCAATCAAGTCGACAAACAGTGCATCAATCAATCTCACAAAGTCAACAGCCTCGCGCGCCCCTCGCGCCCCAATTTGCTAAGTTTCTAGCATACCTACCTAGGTAGGCAGGCACGCCAGTCGCATAGGATGCATCCCGTCCAAATCTCGCACCCTCCAGTGATTTCGCCAGCGAAGAGCGGCTCTCGAGAAACTTATACCTCTGTACTTTTTGGAGTCGAGATGCCCAGCCCGACATCGCACCCGCTATTTCGCGCGGCCCCGGGCCGTCCATGATCTCCACCTCCCCCTTCCCCCCGGCTTCCCCTCCTTGATCTCTGCTTGGTAACCGATCGGTGCGCTTGAAAATCAAGATACTGTAGTAGTAGTATTCCTACTAAGGGAAGCTCGCGGGTCGAAATTACTACTGTCGTATGCGATGCGACGGGAGAGTTACGATTGGATGAAGGACGGGACTTCCCTGGTGTTGTACGTACGTACGTCTTTACTACTGGAATGGCAAGTGCAAGTGCTGCTGGAAGTCAAATACTACGGTAGTAGCAGCGCGTGCGGCGATCTTGAAGTCGGGTTTTAGCTCTTTGCCGTAGGGTGCGTATATATACAGCATATATATAGATAGATAGATAGATAAATAGTACTTGAATATGATACTACTATCTAAAGATAAACATAAATAGACTTTTCTGTATTTAACATTCAATATAGTAATACAGTACTTACTACTCACGTACTAGTTCAATAGTTCAAACCCTTACCAGGCACGTAACAAGCAAGCAAAAGCAAGCAAGCAAGCAATCAAAGCCACACCCGGTAGGTATACTTAGTAGTACAGTAGTACATACGTAGTACGTAGTACAGTACGATACGCGCGGTACGGCACGCGCGGTACGGCACGTCGCTTGAATACCTAAATCATACTAATACTCACGTCGTATAAAAAGATAATTACACTTACGTCGTATAAAAAAAAAAAACTTATACATACAACTATACGTAATACGCAAGATAATTATACTCACTCACAACTATAATAACATTACCCCCGTAAGGCTACCTACCTACCTACCTATTTACCTACCGAGCCTACAGTATGCAAGTAGTAGGTACTATAAAAGGGTCTAACCAGCCAGCTAGCTACTTAGCTAGCCAAAATAAGTAAGTACTCCGTACTCCGCAATTACTTACCTACTACAGTACTACTGTACTGCATACTCTAGTACCGGTAATACGGCACCGGTATCGTGGTACCGTACGTACTACCGGTAGTAGGTAACTAACTAACTGGCTGCAGCCACAGCTACCTATACCTATACTTATACCTATCTATACCTAGGTTTCAGCCATAAGGCACCGGTCGGTTCCATCAGAAGATAGATAGATAGATAGATAGATAGCCTCAGCTCAATTCCTCTACGTGTTCAACTTGCATGCTTGCTTACGGTAAGTATCTTCCCTAGCGGAATCATCACAGCGTATCACACATACTTGTATCTGTACCTATACAGACAAAAATTTCAATCTCTGATCAAATTTCAAATTTCAAATTTCAAATTTCAAATTTCAAATTTCAAATTTGAAGTTTTAAGTTTTAAATTTTTTTTGTTAAAGAGATTTAAATCCAGCATCGAAACCTACTACGTACTAACCAAGCAAGCTCCCAAGCTCCCAAGCTAAGAATCCCCATTCCCCATTCTCCATTCCCCATTCCGCAGCAACCCCGCTCGCTACCCCGCCACCCCGCCCCCCCTCCAAACCTTCATACGTACCGGTAGGTAATCAGTCAATCAATCAATCACTCAATCAATTTTTTTTATAAAAAAGTAGATATAGATATACCTTAAAGGGTGGTAGGGGGTCATTTCAATGGTCCTCTGATCTTCTTTTATTAAAGACGGCCATTGGACCGCTTAAATTCAGTACTAAGCTCTTTTCAAGAATAGTTTATCGAAAAGACCGTCCCATTGAAAGAAACCGTTCTGTGGCCGTCTTATAGCCGTCCTCGTTTATATTTTTAAAACAGGCTTATTAATAAGCTCGTTTTAAAAAATTGAAATAGTTCGATGACCATTTTAAAAAAGATATAATTATAGATAAAAATTATCTTTTAAATAAAATTGTTATAATAATAATTTAAGAAGTTCGACGCCAAGATATTTATCGGTATCGCTGCCACGGCTTATATATCAACGCTTTAAATTTTTTATAATCGGAATCGATCGATTGAGCAAAAGTTCACCCGCGCTTATGAAGGCTTGTGTCAATTGCTAAGAGGGAAGGGGGGGGGTTTTGGTAGTAGAGGGTAGACTGCTACGCAATTGAAAGAAAATAAAGATTATTTGTTTATTAATTTACGTTTCCAAGGACGGTTTCAAGTTCGGGGACGGCCTTAGGACGGCCACAGAACGGCCACAGGACGGTCTTAAAACGGTCTTTTCATAAGAAGACCGACTTTTATAAACGACTATTTAATCGATCAAAACAATCTTAATTTAATAATAATCTTTTAACGAAAAGACGAGCTCTTATAAAAAACGATTTAAGAGAATAAAATAGGTTTATTTTAGCTACGATTTAAATAATTTAAATCGTTTGTTTTCAAATTCTATTCAATCTTAAGTATAATCGTCGGTTTCCTTAAATCTTAATTCGAAAGAATTGACCGACTTGCTGTAGCAAGTCGGCACTACCAAGGCGGGACACCCATCAAGGCGGGATAGTAAAATTTGCTCCTTTTTGATAAATAAAGAATCAACCAACTATTATATAATAGTTATTTTTATATAAAAAGATGCACCTTATTGTGTTTGATATCAGTCAATTAATTGAATTTTAATTACAACTTATCATTCTTTTATTGCGTTGAGTTAAAGTAATAAAAATAGTACTTTTGATTTTTTTTTTTTTTTTTTTTTTTGATTTTTTTTTTCGATTTTTTTTAATGAGTATATATCAGAATTGCCGCGTAAATACTAAAATAAGCGAGGAACATGAAAATCGGACTTTTATTTAAACCTATCAAAAGAATACGTGCATTATTATCAACTTTTATTTAATAATTATCACTTTTAGTGATATAATAAATTAAATCCTTTCTTTTCGATCTATGTAACGTTTTTTTTTTAATTAAAATAGTAGTTGTTAAGATATTCGCAATAAACAAGTAAATTCGAATTATTTAAGACAGTTTTTAGCTATATTTTCATTACATTTTATTGTATTATATCATCAAAAATAAATGCATTTTGATATTTTTAATCTACATTTATAAGGCAAAGTTTTTTAAGCACATAAACATTTTTTACTCTGATTTATATTAATAGTTATTGTTTAATAAGTGGTATACCGTTACTATCCCGCCTTGGTGGTGCCTCGGGATTTTTTACAAATTAAATTCAAGGTAACCGACGATTACCGAGATCCGTAGGTGATAGAATTGTATTTATTTATTTCTGTGACGTCACGCCAGGTCTCCTGGACGTACCGGTATTCCTACATACGCCAAGCTACCTCCTTTTTTCCTTCGTATTCTTCGTATTCTCTTATTCCCTTCTTTTGACCCATGAACCATGGTTTACGAGTCCTTGGCGCTTCTACCTTCGTGTATATGGGGGGCTACGATTCTTTACCTGTACGAGGTGCCCCTTACGAACCTTCAGCTCTTTTTCTTTCTTTTTCTTGCGGTAGAAAGAGAGATAAAGAGTTTAGAAAGCCGAAATTGAATCATCGATATACGACGTCTCTTCGAAGAGATTTTCTTTCATCAGCGATTCCGAACTTTTTTCTTTTTTCTTTTCGAATACTACGCTGACTACGATTTATACTTGACGGGCATATCGATTAAAAAGATTAAGAGGATTTGCGATAAAAGAAAAACGTATATAAAAGATAAAATAAGAAAAGCTTAGTTCGATTGATCGAAAACACGGTATTGCGCTTTCGAAAAAGCGTTTTGCAAACACATCGGCTTTATCTAAAAGCTATGAACGCGAGCTTTTTTAGCTTTACGACGAAAGAGAACGATGTTTATATTATACGGATCGAGGCCGCTCGTAAAGCTATACGTATTCGATAGTTGTCAAGAGAAAACTCGACGCACATCATTATAAATTGCTTTTAAAAGGTTTATAAGTGTTCAGCTATTTGACAAAAGGTTTTCCTTAACGTGGTTTTTACTTTCGATTAGATAATATTTTGTATATAATTCTTTTACTTAGCACGTCGCCGTACTTTATAAAAGGTCCTTAAGGTCTAAGCATTGCGTTTTAAATACCCGCCCGACGTTAATAAATACAACAACAATAACAACAACCTTCGTGTATATAGACCTTAGCTACCTTCGACTTCTACACTCGGTAGTTGTTGATTCTAAGTCATTACTTTGAGGTTCTCCTGAGCTCCTATGTGAACCCCCGCGCTCCCGTGAGTTCCTTCAGGTAATCGCTTAAGGTCGTCACAATTTCTAATAATTGTTTTTTTTTAAAAAAAATTGTAAACGTGAATAGCTTTAAAATTATAATCGAGAAGTTCAAAAAATAATTCTAGTATAAGCGGCATTATTGAAAAAGATTTCTTGTATAGAGCAGCGAGTAGATTTGGCTAGGCGGGCCTACTTAAAAGGTGGGTTGAGGCATGGGAAATATAACTCTACTTTCTTCGAGGCATAGGAAAGTAGTAATCGACTACCAGTAGAATGATCTTCGATTCAAGGGGATCGATTAAAGCGTCATGAAGCCATAAGGCAGAAACAGGCACACACGCATTAGACAGCCATTCGGACGCCGAACCTCCGACGGAGCTAATATAAATCGGGTATAGCCTACATCATTCCCGTATTAACTACTCCGTAAACGATTGACCAATAAACGCGCTCACAAAATCGGCTAAGTCGCTAAACTCCGATACTATAAAAATTCGAGTTCGAATCGAATTTTAAGCTTCGCTCGTGATTGATTTGATTCGAATATCACGTGCGAGGCTCGTTAAGCGGCCGCTAGCTTCGCCTTTATTCTTTGAACCAGGGCCTGCTTGCTAGCACCGTATAGTAAGTAACAAAAAGAAGGCTAAAAGCGGAAGTTTAAAGAGCTTTACGTGCACGCTCGGGAAAAGTGGCGAGAGAAGTAGCGGAAAAGGTAGCGGGAATAAGAGGCGAAGGAGGCTGTGTTATGCGTGTATGCCTGTTTCTTCCTTATGGCCTTATGACGCTTTAATCGATCCCGATTCAAGGAGGGCTAAGTGAAACAAACATATACTACGTACTACGTACTCTCCCCCTTTATAAATAAATGTCGGACCCAGTTTAGGCTTATAAATCATAGAGCGGTGGTTTCTTAATGGCTCAAAGCCCTGTCAACTCCATTGTATAGACTAAATACTGGCTCAAAGATACTTTCCAAAGCTGAATCCTTATACTACGTAAGTTGATTGGTTTAAGCCTTGGTAAGATCCCCTTGCGAATTTATACTTTCGACATTTATTTATAGGGGGGGAGAGTAGTACCTACGTACTTCTACGAGTTTAAAATTCTATTTATATCTTTTAAAACCGAAAGGATATACTTCGTACTATAGGTAAATAATATACAACTCTAGTCAGTGCACGCTAAACACTTGGAAATGCTGCTTTTTATTTTTTAATATTTCGTGTGGCATTAAGTGAAGGCTCTATAATGAAAATGCCGATTTTTAGTGCAAAAAGCGGCGAATTATTATCGTTATATTATTGATATTATAGTACCTCGTGCATGAAACCCCTGTCGATAGAAACCTATAGAATCGTGCACAGACGGCGTTTGTAGTATATTATTTCGGGCATGTACCACGGTACAGGCCTAAGTATTACCCCTCGACGGTGCCTCAAAAGTTTAGCTTCCACTTTGAACCCCCTGTTTTCGCCTACCCTCGAGGGGTAATACTTACGCCTGCGACGCTGTACCGTGGTACATACAGCGTACATACAGTGTACATACTAGTACTACTGTACATACACACTACATACCCACGGTACAGGCCTAAGTATTACCCCTCGAGGGTGCCTGAAAAGTTTAGCTTCCACTTTGAACCCCCTGTTTTCCCTACCCTCGAGGGGTAATACTTACGCCTGCGACGTAGTACGTAGTACTACTTACCCCCATGAATAAATGTCGGACCCAGTTTAGGCCTATATACTACGTACGTAGTACGTAGTACCATAGAGCGGTGGTTTCTTAATGGCTCAAAGCCCTGTGAACTCTACTGTATAAACTAAATACTGGCTCAAAGATACTTTTCAAAGCTGAATCCTTATACTACTAAGTTGATTGGTTTAAGCCCTGGTAAGATCCCTTGCGAAATTATACTTTCGACATTTACTGTTCATAGGGGGGGGAGAGTACGTAGCAAGTAAGAAGGCCTATTTAAAGTAAGCGAACCGACGTATACGTAATGCTCGTATTTTCTATTTTTATACTTGCACTAGCGATAAAAAGTATATATACGTTTCAAAAGTACCGGGCCACTTGGCAATCACAATTACTACTTATATAAGATCAGCAATCCCTCCTTGGAGTTTCGTTCCTAGCATACACTATTATTACAGTGCTCTACAAGCTTCTTATACGCTTTATTCGTCAAAACGATCACCTTACCACCTCTATTATGCATTCCAATAACAACCTCCTCTTGCTCGCCTTCTTCGGCGCCGCGACCGCCCTCCGTCGAACCTGCGCGGTCGATAATGTTCAGAATGACGGCACCGGCACCTATATTATTACAGACTTCGACACTTTGCCTGTAATCGCGGCCGACTTCTGCACCGAAGTACCAGAGCTGGAAAAGCTAAACTCTGCCCCTCAAATCGAAGCAGGAGATTCTTTCACAGTTCCTTGCAGGGTTCGAAAGCGCGATTGCTTAAGGATCCCGAATAGCAAAGTTGGGTACTACACGGTCGTCGAAGGCGACACGCTGGCTTACATTGCGTCGGATTTCTGCGTCGCAGCTAGTAGATTGCCGACCATGAACCCCGGCGTTATCACGGACAACTCGGTCAGCCCGGGCATGATTATCGAGGTTCCTTGCTCTTGGAACTAGCTACTTGCTGTACAATAGAGGCTATAACTATCCGCTCGCTCGCTTGCTTTGCCTACTGCGGGGCTGTAGGCATAGGATGGGCGACGGGACGGGTTGTTGTTGGACTCTACTCTAGAGCTGGGATCTATTCAGCAATTGGATTGCTTCTTTTCTCTTTTTTCGACTATAAGCTTGAGCTTAGCGCAACCCGTCTTTCGGAAGGAAGGGATGTGAGTAGATGGAAAACTAAGTCTCTTTTTATCTTAAGATGTTAAGGACTTGATTTATCAATAAATAAAAAAATTATATCGATAGATCGATTCTCAACGTGACGTATGATTGATTGGTCAGTTAAGAAGTGCGCGTGGTGACGGGCGGCAGAATCCCAGAATAGCATAAAACGTGACTAGATTTCATGTGATTAAATTCTATAAACTACCTTAAAGGGGAATGCAGGAGCATTTAGACGGTCAGCTAATCGTCCGATAACCATCTCTTTTAGGGACGATTTTCATAAGTTGGCATGGCTGGTGGATTACCTTAGGCTTATACTTAAGATTGAATAGAATTTGAAAACAATCGATTTAAATTATTTAAATCGTAACTAAAATAAAACTATTTTATTTAATTAAATCGTTTTTTTTAAATACTCGTCTTTTCGTATAAAAACCGTCTTGGGACCGTCTTCGAGCGTTTTAAGACCGTCCCATGGCCGTCTCATGGCCGTCCTATGGCCGTCCCTGAGCTTAAAACCGTCCCTGAGAACGTGAATTAGTAAGCAAATACTCTTTCTATTGCTTGCTAATCTACCCTTTACTACCTTAACCACCTACTACACCCCCCCCCCTCCCCCCGCCACGCAAGGGCTGTCAGGGCGGTCGTTGTAGGCGGATAGACTTTTGCTGAATCGATCGATTTCGAGTATAAAAAAATAAAAGCGTTGATATACAAGCCGTGGCAGCGATACCGAGAAATATCTTGGCGTCGAACTTCTTAAATTATTATTAAAACAATTTCATTTAAAAGATAATTTTTATCTATAACTATATCTTCTTTAAAATAGTCATCGAACTATTTCAATTTTTTAAAACGAGCTTATTAATAAGCCTGTTTTAAAAATATAGACGAGGACGGCTGTAGGACGGCTACAAAACGGTCTCTTTCAATGGGACGGTCTTCTCGGTAAACTATCCTTGAAAAGAGCTTAGTACTGAATTTAAGCGGTCCAATAGCCGTCTCTTATAAAAGAGGATCAGAGGACCGTTCAAATGACCCCCTACTACCTTAAAGGCAGGTAAGGGGTCATTTAAACCGTCAGCTGATAATCCGATGACGGTCTCTTTAAAAGACGATTCCAAGAGGTTGGCATAGCTAGTGGATCACCCTAAGCCGATACTTAAAATTGAATAGAATCTGAAAACAAACGATTTAAATTATTTAAATCGTAGCTAAAAAAAAACTATTTCAATCAATTGAATCGTTTTTTATAAGAGTTCGTCTTTTCGTAAAAAGATTATTACTAAAATACGACGGTTTTAATCGATTAAATAGTCGTTTATAAAAGACGGTCTTTTTATGAAAAGACCGTTTTAAGACCGTCTTGTGGCCGTCCCAAGGCCGTCCCAAGGCCGTCCC